TTTAGTAAAGATTACAGATAAATAAATATTAACTAACGTGTTTAACTCAATCTAAAGACTGTTTTAAATATTAACTAACGTGTTTAACTCAATCTAAAGACTGTTTTAAGTAAGATATTTTTATATACATATGTAATGAGCAACTGTAATAAGGTGTTGGTTATAGCTCAGATAAGCCAGAAATAAGAATTGCTATAGAGATTGTGTTATATTTTAGTTATCTTTATACATCATATTCATGATACTGAATTTTGCTAATACAGGGGGAAAAGAGTATATATTCTCTACTGAAGAACAGGGTATTGAGAGAATTTAAGAAAATGCTAAGTAAATCAAGATACACTTAAAGTATATAAAATTAAACTTTTTTCTCATGCTTTAATATAATTTTTAGCTCTGCGAGGTTTGAAGGATCCCTTAATATGGACCTTAATGAAATCAGCATGAATTTAGTACCTTTTCCTCAACTGCATTATCTTGTGTCAAGCCTAACACCTCTGTATACACTGGCAGATGTTAACATTCCTTCTCGAAGGTAAGCTGTAGTAACTTTATTCCACTGACTTGAGAATTTGAGTTACCTTTAAAAATATATTTTTAAGAGAAACATTTATATTAACTATTTCTTCCTGAGAAATATATAAAATATAGTTGATGGTGGCCATTTTTTTAATGCTTCTTTATTTAGAAATTATTGCTTTTTAAAATGTCAATATTGCTATAACCAGTTTGACTCATTGGATAGAGCATCGGCCAGCGGACTCAAGGGTCCCAGGTTTGGTTCCTGTCAAGGTCATGTACCTTGGTTGCAGGCACATCCCCAGTAGAGGGTGTGCAGGAGGCAGCTGATCAGTGATTATCTCATCATTGATGTTTCTATCTTTTTCCCTCTCCCTTCCTCTCTGAAATATGTGTGTGTGTGTGTGTGTGTGTGTGTGTGTGTGTGTGTGTGTGTGTATATATATATATATATATATTTTTTTTTTTTTAAAGACTTCATTCACTTAAAATTCTCCCTCTTCAGGAACACTACTACAGAGTTTCATGTTTTATAGGGGAGCCTAACATTGTCTTTGATAGTTTTCTCGTGATTATTTCTGATTTATGTTAATTTTAAAGAGACAAAGTCATTTTCTCTTAGTGTTGTAAGCTTTTAATTAGTTTTGATAGTTCTGGTACTATGCAAGTAGTACCTATACATCTATATATATAAAAGCCAAGCGACTGGAATGACCAGAACAACCGGTTGCTGTGATGCACACTGCAGCAGCCAACTGGCCTAATAGAGGCCCAGGTCAGCCCCTGACCCCAATCAGAGGTGGTGCTGGCCTGCCAACCTCCTGAAGTGATCAGCCCCCATCGAGGCGGGCCAGCCAGACCCCACCTATGCATGAATTTGTGCACCGGGGCTCTAGTACTGAAATAAGTAATAAATGACTCAAGTTCCCAAAATCAGCATTTCATAGAGCTCACTAATGATATAGTTAACATTTGTAGATACCTAAAACCACCAATATATTGTAGAAGCTTTTTATTTAAAAAAAAACAAAACAAAACAAAAACAAACATTTTATTTCCTCTGTGCTCATATTCTGTAAAAGACTGCTTTGAGAAAATTATAGCAGAGACTTAGAACATATTTGCATGTAAAGTTTTACCTACAGATGACTGTCTTTTCATTTTATAGTTATACATAGAAGAAAGATGTAATATTTTGTGAAACAGTGACTCTTATTGTTCTAGATTGGATCAAATGTTTTCAGATGCTTTTAGCAAAGATCACCAGCTAATTCAGGCCGACCCCAAACACAGCCTCTACCTTGCCTGTGCCCTCATGGTTAGAGGAAATGTCCAGATTTCAGATCTTCGCAGGAATATTGAAAGGTTTGATTTTGTATTTTTTCAGGATACTTTGTTATGTGTACTGCTGTGACAGTGTAGCATAATAATTAGGATAGCCTCTCCAAGGTCTAACCATTTAAGTAAAGCATGACCTTGAGCAAACTGCTTAGCCTCTCTGAGCCTTATTTTCCTCAAATGAAGAATAAGAATAACAATTGTACAGAATTATTTTTAAGTACCAAATGATATATTTCCTGAGAGTGTTCAAAAAATTTAACTATTGTTACTGTGTTTATTACTACCACTACTACCACTACACTGCTTCTAAGTTTGTTTTGCTATTTATTCTCAGTCTATTTTTCAGAAAATTGCTCTGTTGAATTACAAAGTAAAGAAATTTATGATACTTCTATTTATCTTCATCCCCAGATTTCTTACTGTTCTTCACTCCTAGATTTCTAAGGAATGTTTTTCTAGCTTTATGAATCGCCACACAACTTATGTCCTCCTACTAAATGTTTCTTAGTTCACGGTCAGACTGTACCACAATACTGCTAATAGTAAAAAATAGATAACTTACATTATAAACTAATGGTACCTCAGTAATGCAGTAACGTTTACCTAATGTGAGCTGCTGTAATACGACAAACATTTATTTCTTACTTTGAGTCTTTGTATCTCAGATTAAAACCTTCTCTACAGTTTGTCTCCTGGAATCAAGAAGGCTGGAAGACCAGCCTGTGCTCAGTTCCTCCTGTGGGCCATTCCCATTCATTATTGGCTTTAGCAAATAACACATGTGTGAAGCCTACCTTCATGGAACTGAGAGAGAGATTCATGAGGCTCTACAAGAAAAAGGTAATTATCGGCACATTTTTGTAATTATGTGTGTTTATTTTGGGTATTTGTGATGTATTCTCAAGAATTGTACTATTACAAATCAGGGTGATTCTGTCTCCTATATTCATTGCACTGATTATAACTGAAGATAGAGGCTAACTAAGACCATCTAAATGAGAAATCTCATGAATTTATAATTCTCATTTCTCTTGTAAATCTGAGTGAACTATCATTTTCATATAGAATGTTTACATTGTAGGATAGTTATATTATCACATTTCCTGAAAATAGTCAACATTAGCCGGGACCGGTTTGGCTCAGTGGATAGAGCGTCGGCCTGCGGACTGAAAGGTCTCGGGTTCGATTCCGGTTAAGGGCATGTACCTTGGTTGCGGGCATATCCCCAGTGGGTGGTGTGCAAGAGGCAGCTGGTCGGTGTTTCTCTCTCATAGACGTTTCTAACTCTCTGTCCCTCTCAATTCCTCTCTGTGTAAAATCAATAAAAATATATTTTTAAAAAAAAAAAAAAAAAAAAAAAAAAAAAAGAAAATAGTCAACATTATTCAGTTTTTTTAATTTATAGGCTCATCTTCACCACTACCTGCAAATTGAAGGGATGGAGGAAAGCTGTTTCTCAGAAGCGGCGTCGTCTTTATCAGCTCTCATCCAGGAATATAGCCAACTGGATGCCACCAAAAGCATGCCCATGGGAGACTTACCCAGGCTGAGAGTCGCTGTGTGAAACAGGCCCAAAAATGCCTTTTCTTTTCCTTTAATCTTACCTTGCTTTTTCAGAACTTTTGTGATTCAGGAAGCCCAGTTTGTGTTTTTCCTATTAGGGAGTATTTTTGTCTGCAAGAGTAGTTCTGTTTAATCACCATTGATAATGCCAGTGTGTGAAATTAGTAAGTGCTAGTACCTTAACTTCAGACATTGTCTTCAGAAAATTCCCTTTTTCTAAAATTGAGAGAATGCAGTCCTTTAGTATTTTACTTTATTTATACTCATAATTAGGTATTTATACAATAAGAATCATGTCTTAGTTACAAATCTTGTACAGATATATTTTTATATTTATTTATAATTTATGTTTTCTATTCTGTTCAAATTCTAATGACTTTTAAAAAATAAGTACAGGCAGTTGAAACACAATATAAATTTTTCTGTGTAACATCCACTAACCTCAGGGAAAGATTTTATGACATCTATTGAGTTTTGGTTTCTTCTTTGGATAACCTTGTTTGCACTCAAAAGAGTCAGAGTTTACATTTATTTTAACATCTATTTGTATTAAATTCTTTTTAAATATAATGCTTTTTTATCAAACTAGCTGATTTTGAAATAATAAATGTCCATCTTTTTTAACAGTGCCACTTGTTATTGTTTTGCTTGTCACTGTACAAACATTACAAAGCTTGTCTTCTTTCAAACTTTATAGTAAATGGCCATCATAGTCTAGAGAAAGTATTCCAGTTACTATCATTTCTAGTTGAAATATTTAACGTTTATTTATCTTTAATCACAATTCATATTTCAAAGCCATATGGGGATTTATCATTTCAGAAAGTAATGTTGAGGAATAAATTATTTTCAAGCCAAAATAATTTTTTGTGTGCTTTCTTTAGTGTTACATTTTTTAAATTCCTTTCATTTTCAAAGTAAGGATACTGTTTTTGGTCTTTATCTTGGAAATTTTGTTTTTTATAGTATTTGGTATAAAAACTTTATTACATTTGTCAACAGTAGGCAATGAAATTCCATTTTTCTCTTTCCCAAAGAAATCTTAATAAACTGATATTCAGAATAGTGCAGTGGAAATTATAAACTTGTTTATAGTTTAACTTTACTCCTATTTAAGAAAATCTAGAATCTTGCTTACCATCTGAGTGGAACCTAGGCTACATTGTTGAAGTGCAGGTAAAGTTTTAAGTTTTTAATAAGTATTTTACACATCTTCAACAAAGTATTCCAGGTTATTTTATAGAATGAAATATTTTCTTTAAAACTGTAGTTTTTCCATTATATATGGCAAGTGTAGGTGGAACAAAGTATCTGTGTATTCTATAATTATGAGATACATTTTAAAGTAAGTTCAATTTTAAGACTTTCAAATTCTACATATCTTTGTAGCAGAACCTTTTTAAAAGCTCCTAATGCTTAAATACAGTCTTCTGAGAATAGGCATTAAAAAAAAAAAATGGCATTCTTACTATTTTAAACCAATAAGGTCGTTTTGCCACCTTTTTAAAACCATTCTAATGTTTTGATGTAATGACATGATTGACTAACCTTGAGTTTTTCCCCCATGTGCTTGGCCTTTAGAGAATCTTGAGCTCAGAAAATACATCTCCCGAATCTCTGCAGTTTCTCTGACATACACAAGATGTGATCCACAGCATCTTCCATTTAAATGACCCTTCATTTGGGCAATCAAATTGAATGGTAATCATCTTAGACTTATTAGGAACACAGCATCTCTTATCCATGCATATTCCACAGAAAGTGGGTTTATAACTCTGGGTGCTTGAACATCCAGAGAGGACGAATTTTTCAGCTTTGAAGAGTTGGAAAGTAGGTTGGCACGTTTTTCCTTTGGGGATCTAAAAATATACATAACATTAAGAAGTCATTTTTAAAATTTGATAGTATACTCTTAAAAAATATCACATATGCCGAAACCGGTTTGGCTCAATGAATAGAGCATCGGCTTGGGGACTGAAGGGACCCGGGTTCGATTCCGGTCAAGGGCATGTACCTTATTGCAGGCATATACCCAGTAGAGAGTGTGCAAGAGGCAGCTGATTGATGACTCTCTCTCATCAATGTTTCTAACTCTTTGTTTCTCTCTTCCTCTCTGTACAAAATCAATAAAATATATATTTTTTTAAAAAAATACCACATATGTGGTGGAGTACTGCGGCAGTTTAGGCTGACCATGATCCACACTATAAGCTGAAAGAGTTTCTAACAGATTAATATTGCCTTTGCTTGATATAAAATTCCCCCCACAAAGTGCAGTTAGAGTGATATCTGCTTTCCCCTGAGACAGCTTGACTTTTAATAGTTATACTAAAGTGATTTTATTTTTAGGAGAACCAAACACCATCCATCCCTTCAAAACACACATACATGCACACACTTTTCAGGAATCTTAATATTAAATTATAATGAAGTTAAGTCTAATTAAACTTTACCTTTATTGTCTTTAATATATTACTGTCACAAGGCTGAACATAGCACAGTCTTCTCTCTGTTCTGAGTTGGCACTTGTTATTTTCATTGGTTACCCTGTTAGAAATTCCCATCCCGCATGTTCTGGAGCAAGGCGTCCACTTTGTAGCTTGAATAAGACATTTTCTTTTCCAAATAAGTGGGAGATTCCTATAAACTAAAATAAAGGAGAAAGTACATGTGTATACATGTATATGATGTATATGTACTAATGTAGATATATAATTTTTTAATCATTTTAAGCTAGTAATAGTTAATAGATCTGAACCTCTATTTTTATATAAAATAACAATGAAATAAACTTATGGTCTAATTATCATTCCTTACTCCCCAAATCAAGTCTTTTAGTCCACACTCCCCGTTATTTGCTCTGTAACTGTGGGCCGCTGGGGTTGGTGAAGGATTTCAAGATGGCTGGGCAAAAACTTGCTCTAAAAACCATTGACTGGGTAGCTTAGGGGGAAATGAGACCCCAAAACCAGAAAACCATTGCCAACACCCTGAAATCCTGGAATGAGACCCTTACTCCAGGATGGCTACTCTCCCTGAGAAACTGCCTGCAATCAACTGGGCTTACTGCAAGGCCAAGTAGCCAAGGCCGGCTTAGTAGACGATGGTGAGAAGAAGTTTATTTTTTTATTATTTTTTTATTTACACAATTTGTTTTAATATATTTTATTGATTTTTTACAGAGAGGAAGAGAGGGATAGAGAGTTAGAAACATCAGTGAGAGAGAGTCATCGATCAGCTGCCTCTTGCACACCTCCTCCTGGGGATGTGCCCGCAACCAAGGTACATGCCCTTTGACCAGAATCGAACCTGGGACCTTTCAGTCCACAGGCTGACACTCTGTCCACTGACCAAACCGGTCTCGGCACAGTGAGAAGAAGTTTAATGCCCTGAACGTTCCCGTGCCAGAGGATAAGTACAATGCCCTGGTGGATGCTAAAGAAAAATAAGATGTGAAAAGTTGTGCTGAGTTTATGTAGGAGGCAACTGATCGATGTCTCTCTCACATAGATGTCTCTAACTATCTCCCTCCTCTCTGTAAAAAATCAATAATTTTTTTTTTAATAATAAAAAAATAAAAACCTGGCATGCATCTGCAATACATAAAGGTAGGTTAGATTATTGTATTTCTAATATAAACTCCACTTAAAGTTAAGCCAAGAGCTGCAGTTCGGGAATTTGCTTGACATTCCTTAAAAAGCAAGAAGAGATTTTTAAAGTCAAAGTTTAGAGTTGGAGAGCAGTGAGAAAAGCATGGGGGCACTATGTCATTGCATGCTTTGTACTGACCAAGCAAAAGCTAGATTCTAACCATTGGGCATTAACTATGTATATAAATTACTATCACAAATATATCTTAAAGTAAACATTTATCACTGTGCTTAATTTTAAAAGCCAAACTCTTGTTTGGGCCCATAAGTATAGTTTCACAGTTAAGCAAAGGAGAGATATTAGATTAAATATATACTTCCTTTGAAACATATGTAGGTCCAACCCTGAGTTACCAGAGAGGTTTTTTCAGTGTTTGGTTTGGTTTTGCTGTTGCATCAAAGCATCAATCACCATCTGATACCTCCAACTGGGTACCAAGTGAATCTACTGAAACTGCTCTCACACTACAAATGAGACCAACTGGAACTATATCCAAACGCCTCCACTTGTGGCAAACTGCTTCTCTAACGCTCTCTTTCACCAAAGAGATTCTAAGGACTTATATTGATTCACTCAGATTCAATGCAGTAAACCAACTGTTCTTGTACTTCCTGAAAAAAATAATAATTTGGCTTACATTTTTAGAGTATTAAAAATAGTAGTGGCATGCTATTAGCTGAATAACTATGCATGGTAAACGCAAATTCACTAGAGCCTGTTAAATTTTTTTCAAGTTTAATCGGCATAATTGGAATCCCTGAGGATGGTCTTTTCATAGGGCTTTTCAATTTCTAAAACTCATTTCACATGATATAAGTGAACTTGGGAGTTTTCAGCATAAGTATTCTGCAATTCCTTGGCTCCTTTCATTCCCTAAGCTCTACATTTCAAGAAAAAGGCATTGATTTCTGGATGAAAACACAGATGTGAATAATAAGGCATCAGCTTTGCACTTTAAACTCCTGTCCCCAAAACACCCTGGCATTGACATAAAATGCTAACTCAGAGCAGTCCAGAATACAAAGTTTATGAGCAAACTGACTAAATGGCCAGGTGTTCAAGAGAAACAAAGAATCTCATTACATGTTCCTGACTACATACGTACCTGGGCAGCCTACTTAAGAATGCCTAGGATAAGTTTATATCAGCAGTTTTCTATTTCTAGAAATAATACTTATAAATTCAAAGCATGTCCTCAAATATTTTTAAGCAGTAGCTTTCCATTTTTGCTTTTATTCTGGATGGTTCACTTCTTGCCCATGATATAACAATTCAGATAAAAGTTTTTCCAGGGTATATCTGAACTACATGTGGTCAGTCCTCCTGAGAAGAGGTTGAGTGGAAATAAGCAGAGGAAGAGTTTTCTTGACCTACTAGGGTTTCTAAAAACAAATATTTTACTGGGGGGAAAATGAAAACATTACCAAGTTTCCTTTTCAGAAACTTAGACTATACCTTCCTGAAACAGACTAAGATGGAACTCAGACTAAATATCACACTGACCACCAGTCAGGAAGAGCCTATGGAGCACTTATGGTGCATAAAAGGAACATGAAATAAACCACAAGAAGTCAGACATGAAAACCAGTTCTACTTATGAGCACCTGGCATTGTTTTGTAGGCTGTTGAGAGCTGCTGCTGTAATGGTCCCGGGCCACAGTTTGGTTGATCAGACTTCTTTCCACCTTTCGCCCCAGAGCAGTGACTGTTAGCCAGCTTTGGGATGAACAATGGGGTGCATCCAATGGCCCCACTCACACAGAGGCAGCTAAACAGGGGGTTGGGCTGAAACACTTGGCCATTAGGATAATGTACCCTGTTGAACTCGCATCCCACAGCCACAAGGTCTGAAAAGAGAAAAAAGCAGAATCGCCAAAGAAGCCATCACTGATAGCCTAGCCCTCCCCATTTATGCCACAGAGGAAACGTGTCTAGCCTAGCCCTCCCCATCTATGCCACAGAGGAAACGTGTCTCCTTAACAAAGTGCCATTCTCAATTTCTTAGGCCCCATCTGGAACCTCCTGCACAGAACATCTGGAGAAGAAGAAAATGAGACATTAGCATTACATAGTAGGCTAGCAACCTCAATGGTCACTTCTGGAACCCAGACCCAGGCACAGGCCCTTGATCTAGGGCAGTGGTCGGCAAACTCATTAGTCAACAGAGCCAAATATCAGCAGTACAATGATTGAAATTTATTTTGAGAGCCAAATTGTTTAAACTTAAACTTCTTCCAACGCCACTTCTTCAAAACAGACTCAACCAGGACGTGGTATTTTGTGGAAGAGCCACACTCAAGGGGCCCAAGAGCTGCATGTGGCTCATGAGCCACAATTTGCCGACCATGGGTGTAGGGTATGGTAAATAAAGAGTCACTCGGAGTACAGCAGTGAGATAAAGGTTGTAAATTTGAGAGACGGGCTGAAGGCTGGTGAGACTGAGGTTTCCCCAGATGGCCAACAATAGGTGGGATATATTCTTAGTAAGTTAAGATGTGAATGGCTAAAAAAATATATAATCTGTTTAACTACAGCACTGCATGGTAACTAATGTTCGTCTTAAGAGAACTAGAGGAAACTTCCACTTCCTCTGAGCAGGATTCCTGACCTGGGTCAGCAGTTTCGGAGTGTGGCCACGGACTCCTTGGCAGGGCCTGAGGCCGTATCAGGGAATCTGCAGGGCCTGAGGCCCTATCAGAAACTGCCGTCACTGTGTTGCTATTTGTACGGATGGTGCAAAAACAATGGTGGGTGGCTAACACTGCTGTTGGCATCTTAGCATGAATCAAACAGTACAGGTTAACCACTGTATTTTCCTTGCTGTGTACTTGTATATAAATGTACTTTAACAGAAAAGCTAGTTTTACTTAAGAATGTCCTTAATGACACAGTAAAAAATAAACATTTTATTAAACCTTAACCATCAAATAAATATTTTTAGCACTCCTTGTGACAGAATGGGAAGAATATCAGAACATCTCTGTAGGTATTGCACCGAAGTACAACAGTTATTTTAGGGAAAGTACCTGTGCTGATGTTTGAGGTGTGGGCCAAACTACCCATGTTTTTTGTGGGAATTTCACCTGAATGACTGACAGGTAAGCCATGCTTATTCAGACGGGGTATTTGGCTGACATCTTCTTGAAAATCAACCAAGTGAGATTATAACTTCAAGCAAAACAACTGACAGTACTTATTGCCAATGACAGAATTCAAGCTTTCAAGCAAAAATTAGAATTTTGGAAAACTCAGACCCATCTCTAAGAACCTTATAGCTACTCAATATATAGACTTTTCTGACAGAATTAGGATTAATTAATGTGATTTTTTAAAATATTATATAATTATGTGTATCATTTGGAACTTCTACATAACCCATTGTTCCAAACTATTTCCCAAATAACCAAAGCACAGTATAAATTATGCATGAGAAAAAGATCCATTCCAAGTAGGTTTTGGATGGAACAATGTATTTTAATGTCACAGAGTTTGACGTTGATGTGATTCAATTATATTGTTTTAGACTTCATGATGCAGCTAATTTTTAAGAAACTACCACTTCTCAAGTGTTAATATAATATAAAAAATAATAGTCACAATTATCTGAAAAGTCTGTTAAAATATTCCTTCCCTTTCCAATAATACATCGGTGTGAAGCTGGATTCCCTTCATATATCTCAATCAAAACATCACATAACAATAGATTGAAAGTAGAAACAGATGGGAGAGTCTAGCTATCTTCTGTTAAACTATCCACTAAATTTGCAAAAATGTAAAACAATCCCATTCTTCTCACTCTATTTTTCTGTTTTAGAAAATAAAATTTTCATAGCTTATATATTATTCCTACGAGTTTATATTTTGTTATTTTAAAACAAATTAGCAAATATTTTTAAATTTCTAATCTATTAAATGCCAACAGAGATAACTCAAACAAAAACTCTTTGAATTCTCATAAATTACTAAGAGTCAAGGGGCCCTTGGAAAAAAAAGTTTTAAAAATATTTATCCATATCATCGACCAGCAAATTTTCTGTAAAGGTCCAAATCATAACTATCTTAGTCTTTACAGACCATGCATCCTCTGTCACCACGACTGGATCCTGCCATTGGAAAGCAGCCGTAGACTCCATGTAACTGAGTAGGTGTGGCTGAGCTCCAGCAAAACATTCTATATAAAATCAGGCGAGGGCCATGATTTGGTCATGGAGCCATAGTTTGTAAGCCCAGTTATAGATGATACCGCCCTCAACCTTGTGTCTAAGCTGTGTTAAAATATCACCACAGTATCTGAAATTGTTTGTTCAAAGATCCGCCTGACACAATATACTTTGACTCTGTGAGGGAATGGCTTGTATCTTTTCTAACTGCCTGTTATGTCCCCAGTTGCTGGTCACTGTTTGTTCCCCTAGCACTGTTTGGAAGAAAGGCATGTCTTGAATACCAGAGTCTGATAGGTCATGGTTTCTCTGTCAAGTTTCCATGACTAATAACTAATATTTTTTAGAGTCTATTGCATATCAGATATTGGGCTAGATATTTGGAGTTTTATGTCCATGGTTTTCATTGGATCTTCCTAGCAAGTCTATGAGATAGGAGGTAATATAATGTAACTGAAACACAGGTTAAAAAACATGATTCAAGGTCACCCAGCAGATAGAGCCTAGAATTTAAACCCAGAGCCTACACCTTAACCAATGTAATATAGTAGAGCCGACAGGGGAATCAGGCTATCAGACCAGCATGGGTCTACACATTCATTCCACCTCCAAAGATGTGCTCTTATTACATGCTCCTGACCAAACATCTAGGAGTAATTTGCTTCCACTTGAGCTTTTCTATAGAGTGACTAAATTGCCCAGATAACATGGATATTTCTCTTCCCTTACAAATTTGATTCCTTAATCCTAAGTAAATCACCATCCTGAATTACTGTCAAGATGTTGGAGGTTTAGATGGTCTCATTCAGACTCCAGAGCTAAGACCCAGAAAGCTGAGGGTCAAGTTGTGATTTGGGGTAAAAGTCAGTCTCTCTCTCTCTCTCTCTCTCTCTCTCTCTCTCTCTCTGTCTTTCTCTCTCCAGTAAAAAGTACAATAACTTGCTGGTTAGTTGTAAAGGCTGAGATTAAAGCAATATATCTGAATACTAGGTATACATCCTTACATTTTAAGCAAGATTACTTTCCATTTATAGAAGAGGCTGAATTCTGATTGCTTTTGACAATATTAACAAATGTTGCTGTTTTTGTGGCACTTTTAGAAATCAGACTCAATTTCTTATATTTTAATCATTAAAAGCAATTATTTTCTAGAAGAACTGTGAGATCACTTTAAATGCAATTAAAATAACAGGTTTCTGAACGTGTGTAAACATCTGTTAATTTCACACAGTGTCTAATACGACAAAGCCAGTCCCCTTAGAGTGTGAAAATTAAAGCCGCCTTATAGTGAGCCAAACTAAGCTGATTATTCCAAATTAACCGTTGCAGGAAACATATCCTGTTTAGACTCAACTTCTCCCAGCAGGTCCAGAAGACACTTACATGCGCACACTCCGGTCTCGTACCTCGGCCTGTCTGCTGAGTAGTCACAGTACAATCCTTTGTGTGGATCGCAGAGCTCGGCTTCATTGCAGACGTCCCCTGGTTGCTTGGCACAGATCTTACAGCATCCACAGCCATCCCTCACCAGGCTTACTCCAGGTGGGCAGCTGGCCTTCTGAGGACATCTGCAGGGCCAGTGACAGACCTGTTTCCGATGCTGCACTTCTGCTTCGCCAAGCCTTCCTTCACGAGTCACCTCTAATGGCCCGGGGCCCTGTGCCCTGCAGCAGAACTTCATATGATAATAAAGGTGATGTTAGAAGTGATTTCTCAAACTGATGTCAGAGGTTTCATAGAAATAGATTTCCCCCAAATTGATAGAATACGGTGTGCTGAGTTACAATAATATCTACCAGTATTTGACACAGTCACTCTCAGCTTAAATTTTTCTTCACTCAGCTCCCAACACATCACTTTCTTGCTCCTCCTTGCTCACTGATGGCTTATTCTCAGTCTCCTTTGCTTGTTTCTTCTCATCCTCTTCATTTCTAAACGTTGCCACCCCCGTGGGTAAGACCTATCTTCTCTCGCTGTATCTCATACCTCCCACCCAGACTTCTCTTCTGACCTCAGACTCAAACTACCTACTAACCAGATCTCCACTTAGATATTTGGTGGTTATAGCAAATTTAACACAACCAAAACTAGCTCCCAATTTCCCCTTCCAATCTACTCTACCCACGCATCCCTGTTTGAGCAAATGCTAATTTCATTTTTCCAAAATCCCTTGGAGTCAGGTCATTCTTGACTTTTCTCTCACATTTTAGTTCCAATCCCATTAGTATAACATGTTGGTTATATCTTCAAAATATACCCTCTCTATTTCTTAATAATCCTATTGCTACCATAGTAATCCATTATTTTTCACTCTTAGATGATTATAATAATCTTGTAAAGGTTCTGCTTGCTTCTCCTGTTGTCCTCTATCTTCTCCACCCAGAAGAATTGTTCTTTTATTTTTTTTTTTTAAGAAAAGGCAAAAATAAATAAATGGGGTTGCTGAAACCAGTTTAGCTCAGTGGATAGAGCGTCGGATTGCAGACTGCAAGGTCCCAGGTTTGATTCCGGTCAAGGGCATGTACCTTGGTTGAGGGCACATACCCAGTGGGAGGTGTGCAGGAGGCAGCTGATCAATGTTTTTCTCTCATCGATGTTTCTAACTCTCTATCCCTCTCTCTTCCTCTCTGTAAAAAATCAATAAAATATATTAAATAAATAAATAAATAAATAAGTGGGATTGCATAAAACTAAAAAGTTCTATACAGCAAAGGAAATAATCAACAAGTGAAAGAAAGGGCAATCTACATAATGGAAAAAATATTTGCAAGCTATATATCTAATAAGGGGTTAATATCCAAAATAGATCAAGAGCTCATACAACTCAATGGCAAAAATAATAAACCAATTAAAAAATTGGCGAAGGACCTGAATAGACATTTCTACACAGAAGACATACAAAAGGCCATCAATACATGAAAATGTGCTCAACATTGCTAATTATCAGAGAAATGCAAATAAAAATCACACCAAGATATCATCTCACACCTGTTAGGATGACTACTACATAAGTAAGTAAGTAAATAAATAAATAAATAAATAAGATTCGTGTTGGTAAGTATATGGAGAAAAGAAAACCCTGGTATACTGTTGGTGGGAATGTAAATCGGTACAGCCATTATGGAAAACAATATGAAGAACCTTCACACAATTAAAAATTGTACTTCTGTGTGCTCTAGCAATTTCACTCTGGGTATTTATCCAAAAATATTAAAATCAGGATCTCAAAGAGATAGCTGTACTCTGTACTTCCATGTTCATTGTGGCATTATTCACAATAGCCAATATATGGAAACAACCTAAATGTCCATTCATGCATGAGTAGATACAGAAGATGTCTATATACATAAAATGCAATATAACTCAGCCTTTAAAGAGAAAGAAATCCTGCCATTTGCAACATCATGGATGGACATGGAGGACATCCTCTATGTGAAATAAGGTACACACAGAAAGACAAATACTGTATAATCTCACTTATATTTAGACTCAAAGATGGGCAAATCTAAGATATTTTGCTAAATCCCCAGATTTCCAAAATCCTGTTCTTCCGTGCAAGCAAAAACATTCACCATGTAAACAAATCCACAAGCAATTCACCCTGTTTTAATATTCTTATTAAAAAATGCCAAGGCAATGAGTCGGTCATATTAAATTAAACTTCCCTTTGGTCTGTTGCTTGAAAAATTCCAGAGTCTCCATGGACGGGTTCCCTTTCGTGACAAGTGAGAGACACATGGGTCGGGAAAAGACAAAGTCATGTTTTCAAAATATACATGTTTCTTCCAAAGCGCTCCTTTCAAACCGGAACAGGCTTCACCGAAAGGGGTCAAACATCATATTTTCCAGTGACTCTTTGCTCGTGTTGCACGCGACTACGGAAAGCTGAGCCCCAGCCTGGCGCCCACATGAAGAAGCGCCTTCATTCCCCCGCCAGGTAGGGCTGCGGCTTCCCCAGGGCACGCCGTGTGCTGGGCTCCAGTAAAAACATATACGTTACCGAAGTCATGAAGCTGTTCAAACATATCGAACGTTGGGTGAAATGCCATCACCTGAAAGGGAAAAAAAATTGCTTTCCCCTTCTTTGCCGGAGCTCATAAACTGAAACAGCACTTTTGGGGAGGAAAATGGCTCCCTATTTCTCAAGAGGTAGTTCCACAAGGAATCCACCCTCTCTTCCTCCCCCATCGTCTTCCTCCCAGATTTGTAAACGGAAAAAAATAAAAGCTGCTGCAGTCTCCCGAGGGAAGAAGGGAGGAGAGAGGACTCACCTGTGCCGGGGTTGCCAGGAGGAAGGTGGCCAGGAGGAGTCCCTGCATGTTCCCAGGACGCACAGCACAGATAGGAGGCCGGGCGCCCAGCTGGCCAGTGCACAAAGCTCCCCCTGTCTCCTCTGCAGAGCTCGCTCGCCTCCACCTCCCAGGCCACAGACTCCGAGCTCATACTCCTAGGCTCTGCTTTCGCTTTCAGGGATCTGTTTTAATGCTGTTTCCTTTTACAAGACCCCTCTCATATTTACCTCTGCTGGGGGTGTCAAGAGGGTGAGAGCACTTTCCTCCTGGTGCCAAGAGGTGACTTTTCTCTGAGTAAAGGTTCTACCTGTCCCTAAAGAGCAGAGTCCGCCTGTGGCCAAACGGTGAGGTTAGATGATGTACCCACCTTCCTTACCCTCGGCCTCTGGGCTCTGCGTTCGCCCTGCCCCAGGCCCTCCCCGGGCTGCCTTATTGTCCAAGGCCCCGAAGCACGGTGCACTCCACCCGAAGCCTGCTCAGGGTCCTCTCTCACATCAGCAACAGGTCTCCCTAGCAGGCCTTCCCTGGCTCCTCCAGCTTCTGATCCCCTTCCTCCCTACCTCTGTTGCCCCCACTGTGCCCTGAACTACCTCTGTCCCAGCGCGTTTCTCACAGCAGGTGGAGTCTGATTGGGAAAAATGGAGCTGGAACAGGAAGTCCATGGGGCATGGGGGCACCTACAGTCCCTGGCCCCAGAGAAGCCCCGTCTGTGGAGTCCTGTGACAGTGAGTAAAGTTAACCCCACTCTTTTGGGGCTAAGATCAAAGAACTATACTCGTGGCAATCATTATTTTCCCAAAGAGGGATTTAAAAAAAAAAAAAAAAAAAAGCTTACTACAGATTTGTATCCCTCCTCCTATTCTCACCTCCTTGGGATGTGTGGCCACCCCATGTCCTCCTGTGTCTGGCCTTGGGTGGCCTTTGTTTATCCCATGTAGGCGACCTTGGTTTTTTCCTATATCTTTTTTTTTTTTTTTAATATATTTTATTGATTTTGTACCGAGATGAAATGAGAGAGATAGAGAGTTAGAAACATCGATGAGAGAGAGTCATCGATCAGCTGCCTCTTGCACACCCCCTACTGGGGATATGCCTGCAACTAAGGTACATGCCCTTGACCGGAATCGAACCCGGGTCCCTTCAGTCCCCAAGCCGACGCTCTATCCATTGAGCCAAACCGGTCTCGGCTTTTCCTATATCTTGGTGCGCATCTGTGATGAGGCCTTGTCTGCCTGTGGATGGAGTAGTTCAGTCCCCCTTTCCACCCGCTCCCGGGGTCTACTTCTGGTCCCTTTGACATTTACCTAGCCTAAGGTGACCAGACACCCCGCTTTTGGCGGGACGATCCAGATTCAGGACTTTTAAAAAAGGACGCAGGACAGATTGTTAAAAATCTGGACTGTCCCGCCAAAAGTGGGACCTCTGGTCACCTTAACCTAGCCTATCTTTTCCTGTTACCCGATCTCTCCCGGACTCACTGCTCACCTTTGTTTCTACCCAAGACAGCCACAGCTGTATAGAGACAGTGAGTAAACCTCAGGAGGGCCTGTGCTGAGAGTCTAGGACCGTGGTCGGCAAACTGTGGCTCAAGAGCCACATGCGGCTCTTTGGCCCCTTGAGCGTGGCTCTTCCACAAAATACCACAGCCTGGGTGAGTCTGTTTTGAAGAAGTGGCGTTAGAAGAAGCTTAAGTTTTAAAAAATGGGCTCTCAAAAGAAATTTCAATCGTTGTACTGTTGATATTTGGCTCTGTTGACCAATGAGTTTGCCGACCACTGGTAGGGAAAAACTGGGCTTTCTGCCAACCACAGGGAATCTGGGGACCTTGGAGAGCCAAGAACGCCACAAAACATGCATACAAACTCTAGGCATCTTACTAAGTAGTTAATTAAACCATAATTATGCACACCAACCAACAAGGAATACGCAGTGTGGTTTTAGGGTGCCAACTCCTTATTCTGCTTCTCCAATAAATAGGGCAAAGCCCAAGAAAGGCCTCATGCAACAAAATGTGCCTGTTTTGGTCCAAACTGGTCAATTTCTTTCTAGTTTAACACCATTTGGTCTTTAGGTTCCTGGCCTCTGGGATTCGGGCACCACACTGCCCATGGGGATGGATCATTTCTCATGTCCTGGCTGGTCCATCAAAAGCAGAAGAGCCTCAGCCCGACTATGTGTTCATCAACCACATCCCTCCTGCCCAACTCCCGCTGTTCCGAAGGTGATGCTGCACACGTCTGGGCACTGTTCAAACTGAGATTCGTGCTCGGCCCAGGTGCTCTCCGTGGATTTCTAGCAGCAGCTGCCTTTGTTCTGGAAACAGCTCCTCTTTCTCTGCAGTATCTCTGCCATGGGGAGAGGAAGGGGCCCTACTCACCATCTTTGCTTCATGGTAGAAAAGGACCAACTTAGTTGAGAACTAACTTGTAAAACCTCAACACCACCCCCACCGCTCCCACCCCCGCTTAGTGCACAGAATTTATGGGCACTGGGTTACTTGCTGTCATGTGTGTTTAGCCACAGGTGTGCTCTTATTAAACCATTCCACACCTACTATGGGTGGAATAAGCGAATGTGATGTTTTCAGAGGTTGGGACTGCCATCTTTGACTTCCGACAGTAAGAGCTATCACGGTGTACGTTCCCTTCTAAGTACTTTCCTCTGTTACCTCATTTAACATCATGTTAATCTGTCCAGGAGCACGTTTCACAGGTATTCAGCTTGCAATGTACCCTCACAGACAGGGTACTGAGCATAACAATATTTACATCATGTTTTATGATTAATAAGGAAGCTTCATATGTATTAACTTTTTTTTTTTTTAATTTCACAGCTCAGTGAGGTAGGCAAAAGCAGCCTTACCTCCCTCATTTAACAGATTAAAAGCTTGATCAACAAAACACGTAATCTCTGCCCTCTAGAGCCATGTCATCTACTGGGCCAGAAGACACTAAACAAAGACACCCAGTATCCATAATTAAATGGAACTGAGTCAAATCATAGACAGCAAGAAACTGTAAGAGAGGATGACAGGTAGGAGGTGACTCAGAGGCCATCTGTGAGGAAAGGTCCCTTAGAGATTTGAGAGATGAAACCAGCCGAAGCACTGGGGAAGACGGCTGGTCCAGTCCTCTTCCCACTGGAAAAGCACACACCTCTGAGGGTGACGAGTTCCATCTGCAAACAGGATGTCCCACTGCCCTTCCCGTAGATTCCTGCAATCACTGTGCTAGGGACATCATCACAGCTGGCACATCCTCTTCTCCTCGTTGGAGCAGTCATTTGGAGCAAGTAGAGACCAGAGCCCATGCCTTCTATCCTCGCACTTAGCACACAAGGAGTTTTCCAACCTGTCCCCTCTCCCTTCCTTTCTTCTTATTGGCTGTGGAGGCGGAGTTATTGCTGAGGAGAGACGGACATGGTTGGCGCTGTAAATGCTCGGAGGATGAGCGATGAGGTGAAGTCCATCAGGGAGGCTAGAGCTGTTGTAGTAACAGCAGCTAACAAGGAGTGAGTGCTCAAGGCACCCAATCACTGCGCTGAGTGCTGAGTATGTATTGACTCATTGTACCCTCCTCGCCGCCAGACAGGTAGTGTTCCTGCCATCGTTTTATTAATGAGGGAACTGAGGCCGGGCCACATTGACAGCAAGGAGAACCAAGATCCCAAGCCTTTACTCCCCAGGCTCCGCTGCCTCTCCGCACGCCCTGTCATTGGCATCACAGTGCAGCAGGATGATTTATTTTCCTAATTTGCATTGCATTCCCAACGTTTTTCTGCCTCCTGCTCCCTTCTCCAATTTTAAGGTGTTAGTCAGACCTTTCACATTTCCCTCCATCCAGCCTCCACGCAGAAAAAGGGAGCTGCTGACGTGCCTTCTCTTGTCTTTTAGGGAAGCTGGATCTCACCGAAGAGGCGATGCTGGGAAAGGAATTTGAGGTAGTGGGAGGAAGAGGAAGCAGAGGAGGAGGAGGAAGAGAGTGAAGGTGTGGCTGGGTGAAGACTTGGTATTCAGCTGTCCCATGGCATTTGCAAAGCCTAGAGGGACCCGGCATGCCATAGTGCTCCCAAGAGATTGACCCAGGGCCAGGATTCCACAGTGGTATGTGTCCAAGGAACTCTGTGTTTGCAAAGCCTTCAGTGCCTGCACACACATGGCCTGTCAGCTGTGGGCAGAAATCTCAGAAGGAGAAGACCAGGGAGGCCTGGCCCTTTTCTAGGCACCTCTCCTGGGTTGGTGTGCAGCCTCTGGTGGCAGTGGTGGTAGTGTTGAGGGGAATGCACCAGTGAGAGCTTAGAATAAACTTACCTGCAGACGGAGATGGGGGAGCCAGCTTTCATCTTCACATTTACTAAAAAATTAATTTAAAAAAGTGGATATTTCCAACGCTTGTGGATTTGTGGAGTCACAGTCACAAATTGCTACCGCATACCCTAAGTGTTACAGCATCACCATTCTCCGTGAGTGTCCACTCTCCCCTGAAAAACCACAAGCCTCAGAACCAAAAGCAGTGCTGGGGCCCTCTGTCCCATCAACACTGGCTCTGCCAGCCCCCAGTAGAGCCAGCGGCTAGATCCCTGATAACTCAGGGACTCTTGCAGCCTTGGTGGCTTCTGCAGGCCCAACGGAGCTGAAGGACCGCCTGGCAGCTGCACAATAAAAACTTGATGATTTCAGCCAAATCTGGTTTGGCTCAGTGGATAGAGCGTCGGCCTGCGGACTGAAAGGTCCTGGGTTCGATTCCGGTCAAGGGCATGTACCTTGGTTGCGGGTGCATCTCCAGTGGGGGGTGTGCAAGAGGCAGATGGTCGGTGTTTCTCTCATCGACGTTTCTAACTCTCTGTCCCTCTCAATTCCTCTCTCTGCGTAAAATCAATAAAATATGTTTTAAAAAAAAAACTTGATGATTTCAAAGGACTCCTGTAACCACCAAAGCTAAGCACGTCTATACTTTTGCATACATGTGTTTAGCTACTGCATCCTTTCGCACCCATTTTCTACTAATCATTGCACTCTCACCTTTTTC